AAGAGTTCAGAATAGACACCTCCACCAACGTTTGCTTGGTTTTCTAGGCACGACCCATCAGTGAAGACTTGGAGCCATTGGTCTCCAGGATAGTTGACATTGAATGTCTCAAGGGCCAGTGAGCGCATTTGCTCTGGAGGGGTGTTTGATTTCCTGAAGAAGTCGAGCAGTTGGGTGCAACACACTACATCAATGTCTGCTAATGGGTTCATGGGGGGAGAGAGGCTATTTGGTTTGTCTCCGATTTGTAATTCTTTCTTCAATTCTATGGCTTTCTGTATTAGACCAACTTGCGTTTTCAGATGTCTTGGTCTATTCTCATAGGAGCTGAAGAACTGGTACATGGGAATGCGCAGTAGTTTCTCATACAGGATCAAGGCCTTCTCTTTGATAAGGGAGCCTATTGTGGTGTTTCCTGTAACTAGGAGCATTGCATCAATGGGTGTTGATTTTATCCCTCCAGTAATTAGTCGTAATGCTTGGTTGTGTGCCTTCTCGAGTGGTTTGTGAGTCACCTCTGTGGCTGTAATGAGTGGCTCACAGCAATACAACATTATTGGCTGAATAAACATCTTGTAAGTTGTGTTTAGATTTGAGCGCGCACAGCCCCATACGCTACCAGCAAGACGCTTCAGTACATTCAGTCTATTGGAGACTCGTTCTGCTATTTTAGCAATGTGACTTTTCCACGTTAGCTTTGTGTCAAACGTCATTTCGAGATGTGTGAACTCAATGGTTTTTCTAGGGTAGTATCCTTGTACCTTAGAAGCGGGTTTATGCTGTGATGGGCCAAAGGAAAATGTTTGGAATGCAGTTTTTGCCGTGTTATTTACATTTCTATTGTTGTCGCACCTGTTTGCTAGTTGTTTAAGTGCACAATTTAGGGCACTTTCTGTCCTCTCCTGAGCGTTTTTCTTCGGACCGGAATATCATAGTACCAGATCATCTGCGTAAAGTAAGCACTTGATGCTCGTGACTGTCTGTACCAATTCGGCTATGTCTTCGATGAAGACATTGAAATGAGTGCAGCTTGTGACAGCTCGCTGCGGAAGGCCTGTTTGAAAACGATTGGATTTTGAAAGAGCATTTCCGTATCTGACTTTACGCGATCTTTGTCCAATGAACGCTTTTATCCAGTTTAGCATGTTATGCTTAATACCAATCTTTGCCAATTTTAAAATTAGCTTCTCTTTCCATACTAAGTTACATGCTGATTTGAAATCGACGAAAACAGCCGTAAGGGTATTTCTTGCATCAAGTGCATCATTGATGTGTTGGGAGAAAGTGGCTACCTGTAGGTTTCTTGTCGTTCAGGATATTGTTGGTCTCAAGGAACCAGGTCAGCCTCCTGTTAACCATTCTTTCCAGAAGTCTATCAAGCACGCTTGGGAGGGAGATAGGCCTAAAGTTGTCAAAGTTGCTAGGGTCATTTTCCTTTTTTAGTACTGATATTTCTATGGCAACTGTCCATTTATTGGGTACGAGGCTGCTCTCCCAGATTTTGCTGAAAAGCGTCAGCATGGTTTAGTTGGCTTTTGGTATCACTCTAATTAGTTATTCAGGATGAATATCGTCTTCGCCAGACGACTTTTTGAACGTTAACTGTTTTTTCGCAGCATTAAGTTCGCAGGGTCTGAATGGTTCAGTAAGTACATTATTTGATGTTGCTACGTCTTGCAAAATTTCACCAAACCGTCTTTCCTGTAACTTTAAATCTCTTGAAGATTATCTGACAAAAGGGCTTTTCTTTAGCTTGTGGGAATAGAACCTTGCTAAGCAGTTAGTTATTTCGGATTCGTTGGTAAGCAGTTTGTTCTTTAAACGAATTGGTCATTTCTTGAGTCTTTTCCCACTGTTTTGGGGGTTATCCAGGAATTTGAAGGTGCGTTGTCTATCACTTTGATATTTGATATTTGAGATGAACTTTTCGTTGGAAGTCCGGTTAGCTTGTATGATGGCGTGTCTTAGGACAGCTCACTACCGTCTCCAGGCTTCGTTCTTCCAGTCTGATCAGCAGTTTTGCGAAGGGCGTCTTGTCGTCTCCAGGCTTCTACGTCTTTCGTTCTTCCAGTCTGATCAGCAGTGTTGCGAAGGGCGTCCCGCTTTCTTTTCAGTTCACCATGGTGTTTTGACCAAAACCCTTAATAGTGTTTTATCTTGCCACGGGGAATAGTTTTCTTTGCACATCTGATCATGAGCCTCGGGGAATAGTTTTCTTTGCACATCTGATCATAATACTCGGGTGTTTAGACCAAAACACTCGATAGTGTTTAGTCTTCCCATAGTTTTCTTTGCACATCTGATCATAATATTCGTGATATCAGTATTTCTTTGCACATCTGATCATAATATTCGTGATATCATTAAAAAGTTTGTCAGGATGTTGGTTGAAGTTGAGGAGACATGTGTGAAGTTCATTCTCTAAAAGGTTTGTAATCTAGGCCAGTCAGCCTTCTTGAAGTTCCATGATAGCTTGATAAAAATCCTTAAATTTTCTACAATTCGAAGTATTTTTGGAAATTCAAATAATTCTTTAGGTCTTTTAGATATTACTAAAATTTACGTTGAAGCTGAAGT